AGACTTGGTAAAATATTTATGCTTTGCAAGAGGGAAGTCTATATAAAATAAAAACTATCGAGATTTTTCCGATCACTATTTTCTAATGTTAAAACTCAAGGATAATTTGATAGATTAAACCGTTGTTACTGTAGCTTGGTTATTAGATGCAAAATATTGGTAACGAATTTTTTTTGTACAAGTGTTTCTTAAAAAAAAAAAAAAAACAGATGAAAAGTATTCATGGTAGTCTTCATTCATGAAACGATCAGCGCTGAACGCACCTGAAAGCCACCTTAATCAGAGAGAGGTCCAAGAAATCAACGGGGAAAAAATAGAATTATTTCTTCGTTTGCAGTTTTCTTCGCCATTGACTTATGCCATTTTCTAATTGAAAAATTAGCTAAATCCAGGTTACATTGTTCAACACAGACTTACAGACTCGAACACCTAGTTTGTTGTAAAAAGCCAAATAACTAACCTTGTTGCAATTTGTCCTTATTTCTCAGTTTCCTCCCTTGTATTTATTGTGTTCTCATTTCCTTCTTGACACTTTTCTAAGGTTAAAGAGAGAAAAAAAGAGAAGGATATGAGCATATAAACTTTAATAAGGGCTAAGTGCAAATAATAAGAGTCAGCGTCCGGATCGAAAAACTCGTTTAGACATTTAGAACCATCACATTTTCTCATCAAAATTTTGAAATTGTATTTCAATTTCTAAATTAGGAATTCGAAAATATATAGAAACAGCGTGATTAATTGGGAGAAAACAAGCTAACCGTGACAATTGGCATTTTACCTTAGATATACTGTGGTATGAAACAAGGCAACCGTTGGCGCGTTAATTTAATATCAATTGTTTACTACCAACAGATAGAGAGCAAACTAATTTCTCAGAGATCAAAAGAATTCGCAGATTGTTTTGTTTTAATTCATAAATTTACAAACTATAACGGGTCATTTCGTTGCAAATTTGAAAAAAAAAAAAACCAAACGTATTGAATGAGAGCCTAGCTTTGTTCTTTCCTCCCTTTCATTTCTTGGTTCCAGGCTCTCTTGCCTTTTGCTCGGCGCCTTCTTTAAATGAGAAAGGAAAGAGAAATAAGATTTGACTACATCCGGCCATACCTTTCTTCGGATAAGAAAATATCCTGTTTCATTTCGAATGATGTCAGTACTAAGTGTAAATGATGAAACTTGATCAGGAAAGACTTTGTATTGAGTGGTACTGACAAATTCAAACTACTTATTGTAAGGAAGACATATAGAAATCTTACATCAATGACATTTTTACTACCGTAGCAAAACCAGGGATCAACTTTGAAATTGCCTGCGCTTTGGTAGTTTTAGGAGGACATAAGGAAAATCAAAACACCACTGACAATGGTCAGGTATTTCTTTGAAACTCGTATTTTATCACCGTGAACACATACAAGGAAGTAGCATTGCTTTCTTAGAACAACAGTCTTATAACCAACTGTGAGTCACTTTCAGAGACTGAGGAAAAAGAAGATCTTCTTTTCTTCGTAGTTTCCAACACTTTTCAGTATTTGCCAGATATATAATAATAATAATAATAATAATAATAATAATAAAATATTTATATAGCGCCTATCCTTTTCCTAGATAAGTTTAGATAAATCGACTAAACTGTTGCAGAACCAAATAGCCAACCTTATCTGATGTTTTCCTTTCTTTTTTTCTTTTTCTTTTTTGCTTCCTGAACTTTCTGGACATCCATGTATTTTGAACTTACGCTTGAAGCTTTCCTAATGAAAGAGAAAACAAGAAAGTTGGTTTGAATGCATGTACACCGGTGTGCACCTACATTAAGGATAATTATTTTCAATGCAAGTGAGTAATGTCATTATTACATATTAGATTTACTATGAAAAGTCTGATTTGTCGATAGCTTACAGTCAATATACAATAGGGTGTGAAGTTGACATGATAACTTAATGTCTGCAGCAGATATAGACCACTTTCTCCAGTACAAAATTCAAAAGAATACATTATCTCAAGCGAAGCCAGAAAGGCTAATTTAAATTTAAACAAAAGAATATTAATCCGGCAGCCATTTACGAAAGTGGTCAATTGGGTTATCATATTAAGTGCAAAGTCTGCATGCCTAGTTTCCAAACCCCTCTTCCGTGTAGCGTTCTCCAACTTTTGCAAACTCAGAGAAAAGTGTCCTCTTTTGCGGATTGTTTAAAAATGTATAATAAAACGATTATTAAATCCGGTTTTCGCATGATATCATGAATTAATGGTCAAACCTCTTGTTTGTGTTCTCTGCCCCTGCCTTCGGCATCAGCAGATAACTCAGACCTCGGCGTTGATAATTCAGGATATCATGCTCAACCTTATCCAAGAATCGCTTGATATTAGAGTCTGAAGTCTAGATCATAGCAATCACATTCTACAATGGATATTAAGCTTAGCTCGTTGTCTACTGCATGAAATGACTAGGGGGCGTAAACTTCCCCTCTTTGTTGAGATGCGAATGAATATCAGGTTACCAAAAAGTATTATGTCAGATTTCTCTGATAATACAAATAACAGCAACTTCTGTCTCTAAATAAAGGATGGGAATCAATTCTCTGATGTCCAGAAGACAGGATTCCACGTTACACGTAAAACGGTTTGAGGATTACCCTCTCTTTTAATTGGCGGGATTGAGGGGAAATAACGAGCGCGTTTTAAGTTAACTTAATGCCGCAACATTGTAAACACAAAATTTGTGCCGTCAGTATGACAGATCCATATAAAAATGAAGAGCGAGTAAAATAAGGAATTAAGCGATAAGTGCAGCAATAGTAACGAATTTCTCGGCATTTATGTTTAAGGCACGATCAAAAAACTGTCATGGCGGCTGCCATTGAGGATTAGTGTTACACCGTACTAGGTGATCTTGCCCTCCACTCTTACATTCGATTTTATAAATTACATTTCCCTCAAGCAACTATGAACCGAAAGCATGAACGTTGCATGTTCATCCAAAATATATCTGTACAAAGGTTATTTACCTGAAGAAACGTCTTGGAAAAGTTGAAGTCATGAATCCTCGACGTCGAATCTTAACCATTCGATTCAGCAGAAGAAACACTGGCCGGCCTTGACAAAACTGACAATATCCAAGGTAATAAGGTCAAAATAATGTGTTTCTTGAATCCATAAAAGTTGGAAAGACGCTGAAGTTTCTTGCAATTCGTAAGCTCTTTACACGTGCAAGACCAAGCGCAGCTATGAATATTAATTTGAGAACTACTTGTAATTCAAATGAGTTTTCCCACTTTAAAAGGCGGTTTCAAAACAATCGACACTGAGCTCTCCGGTCAGCCTCTTGTTGTATTAAAAAACGAAGTAGGATGTCAAGCTTGAGGGCTGATTTTGAACTAAGCGAGGTTCAATGTGGAGGTGCAACTATTCTTCCCTGAATTTTAAAAATTTTAGACGATTTCGAACTTAAAGAAAATTTTTTTCCGGCGGGGTCTCTATCAACCGCACCCATTCAGTTTAGAAATCTCTTTTTCTTTATTTTGCTGAGATTTAGCAGTTTTGTTTAGGGAAATCAGAGAATGAGAGAAATCAGATTTGCGATAAGTCGGTAACTAAGACTTTTAAATTTTAAAGATGCCATGTATCTACCTAAAAGCCAAAGTCAGTCATTTTATAATGGTTTGTTGGGTGGGGTCATGATTAGATACACGACCCCACAGGCATGTAGTGCTCGTTTTCTGATCGTGTTGTAAATAAAGGATTTTACTTTACTTTACTTTACTTTACTTCACTTCAACAGAGTAAGCTACTCGTAACTAACGAGCATCTGCATGCATATGCTCTGTTAAAGTGTACCGTCTTAAAATATTTAGCGAAACACAACCCAAGGAACCTTTAAACAAATATAACAGAGAGACTGCGAGAACTTAAATCTTGAACCGTAATTTATCTTGAATTCACTTTGGATATCAAATTTTCGACGCTCGTTGCTTTTGAACCATACAACATACCCCGTACTGTTCCACGTCAACATGGTGCTTCCGCTACCTGAAAATAATCAAATATTTTCGCGGGCGAAGAGACGCTGCTTCAGCGCTACATAGAACTAAATCAACCATAACTGAATCTGTGATAAATCTTACAACATAATTCAGGCTATAATTATTCACTTTTCAAGTTTTAATGCAACCTTCTTTCTAGCTGGCTAATATCGTTTCATAGCGCAATTTCTGTCATAAATATTTGGTTCATGGATAAATTTAATAAAGATATTACTTACAGAAAATTCTCTTTTTATTTCTCAATCAATTTTGTTGAGGATGAAGGGACTTCAATTTATTTTCAGTGATGGGGTTTAAATGCTACTGTTGCTATTTGATCGTGTACTGTCTAGACTATTGAAGAGTGAGAGGAACTGGCATTTTTTTGCATGATTAGACTCCAGTGACGTTATTGCCAGATGAATTAAAATGGATACCTTACCCCATCCATAACCCTACTGATCCACTACTAGACTCTCCCCCCCCCCCAAGTTTCTTTGACTCTTTATACAATCATAGAAGAAACGTCGACAAAAAAGGATGAGGAAGAATTTCAATGACATGTGCTGATCCTTGTACTTCAGAGGGCTTCGCAAAAATAACAAGGGCAATACCCAAACCAAATAAAGAAGTGAAATGCCAAACAGGCAACCCAAGCGAGTTATTAACTAATCTCATGTTCAAACCCCACAAGGTCTCCATGCCCCGTAGTTGTAAGATTGTGAAGCAAACAAACAAGTAAAGCACCTCGTGATTGGGGGAAACAAATATTTGAAGTAAAAAAGAGTGGCAGCCAAGGGATATAACAATAAAAGAAGTGTTTTGGGGGCTTGCCAAGATGCCTTGGCGTAAAGGCTCGGTGAAACCCTTCCCAATAAAATTCAGCGTTCCACAATTGAGGTAGAAGTGTTGATTGTGGGGTCAAGTTTGTTTACCATAATTTCACGCCATCCCAATGTGAAGATTGAATGGCCCAACAAGTAGCTTTTTCGCAAATTTATTATCAGAGAACAGATATCAATGTGTACATTCAGTTGCGCTTTCTGCGTGTACGATTCTTCTGCACACCTGTGCCAGTCCTTTGGCTGCGGAGGATGGCACATGCCCTCATGACCGCTGCATCCTCCAGATCCTGTCGGTAATAGTTCTTGCCACACAAGTTCTTGATGGTCTTGATGGTGCGACGGGAGTCACGAGCCAAAGTCACCTTGGATGTAACCTTAGAGGGCTTGTTAGCATCTGCAAGAAAACAATTACCAATAAACCGAACTCCTGTAACTAGCATTAGTTACTTCCCAATAAACTGACAGTAAACACTAAATGAATATGGTAAAAAATTATGTACGTTGTGAAGTTGGTGATATACTTCAGCTGGATCACAGGTATGCTGTCAAATCATATTTCATTAACATTCACATTGCACAAAACATTTTGGAAACCCAACTGATGGGACAAGTTGTTGAACTCCAGATCACTGGACAGTAAACAAATCCAGCTAATTGCTAAAGTCATGCCCATTACTCAGCCTCTATAATCTAAGTACAGCTGTACATACACAGCGTATGATACAATAATACATAAACAAGGCCCCAACAATTGCTGTATGGTCAAACATGTATGTGCTATTAAACTACAGCAATTGTAAGCCAAAGCCAAGTCATTTATTCTTTACTTTTCTTTCCTTTGTAATGGTGGATATACAAATAAAGTGGAAATTGAATATGCAAAATTTGCAGCATGAGCACAGCCATAGGGGCCTAGGGAGATAATACATCTTGTTAAAAACAGCAGACCCAAATTTTTTTACATTTGGGCGAATGTTTGTGGGAGCGACAACTAATTTTGTGCCAGACAAGTACTGCAGGAAAACCAAATAATCAAAACTGTAACTTCTAGCAATTCTCTTTCTTGAGAATTTACTCATTTTTTGCAGGCTGCAAATTCAGTATCAAGTTTACAATGTATTTAGCAACCTGAGTATAATCACTGCATATTCTAATTATATTGTGCACAGTATATTCATGAGTTCACCATAAAGTCAATTTCAGTTTACAACTACATGGCTTAATCATGTTGACTATGATTTCAGTATTTCCCAAATCTTGGGTATCACATGCAAGTACAGTATATAACTGATACCTAAACCTTTAACTATCAACATTACTAAATGTTATGAAAGAAAGCATCACATAGAAGATGAAAGCATCACTTCAACTTACACTTCTTCTTCTTGATGGTGAGGACCACACCTTTGCCAGAAGGTTCAGGAGTAACTCCAATGGACTGAAATGTGATAAGAGCATATTCAGAAATGCACTTGCATGCAATATTATTCCACTAAATAATTAAATTCCACTTAAAACTTCTTCCTACTAGAAAATTACTGCTTAGTCCTCTTTCCATTTCTGCATTCCATATATATGCTGGGAAATGTAATTTAAATTGTGTCAATACTCAGATATACCACTAATGCATTTATTACTCATACAATGCTGGATTGAAAAACAGTCAAACCTGTACAGAGTGGTCACACACAGAGAATGGCAGGTTGACTGTTGAATACAGGTTGACTACTTAATTATGGTTCCAAAGAATAGGGGTGACATAAAAAACAATAGCAAAGGCCATTTTATACCATAATTGACTTTTTAATGTACAAAAACTTCACTTGAAAATAGTACTAACTTTG